AGTTCAGTTTTTTTAAACTATTTTATAGTTAATTGTAATAGATTTATAGTACAGTACAAATAGTGCAGTTTGCCCACCCCTAATATGGATATTAGTTAGCTTTGATGCAAGTGTGTAGTGAAAATAAATTATTGAGATGATTTAATTACAAATGAGTATACTCGCTATAGTGGAGTATGATTACTGGTATAAACAATGAAAATGTGCTTATTTTAATAAGGGTGGAGATTCTTAGGCTAATGAAAAAAATATATCTTGAAAAGTCTCACATTACTTAAGATACACAATGGTGTAAGTGTTAGTGACTATATAATGGACTATAATAATTTTAATTCCCGAGATACTATAAGATTATATTTGATGATACTGTAAGATTATATTTGACTTTTCTTATACTTTGTCATTATATAATTGTCATGATTTTTCTCTAAATTTAGATTTATTTATCATACATAAGAAAAATAAATAATGGATATGAAAAACCAAAACAATTATTAAATTCGCAACTGCATGAAGAAATTATGTCCTTTACAAACAATTTCCTCTAAGTCAATTCGCCTAATTAGTTATTCCATATCCATCTCCAAAAATTTCATCCTCATAATTAAATTCATTCCTATTCTTACCGAGTATATACTCATACTTGTATACGTATTTTCTTTCTTACTATTTTAATATCAACTAATTAATTTTTATACAATAATAAAAAATTATGGCAAATGAAATATAATATTATTAAATATTTAATATCAAAATAAAGGTATTTTTGTTTCTTCAATATCAAGAAAACAATTATTTTCAAATTAGAATACCAATCATAAGAGCCAAAAAATTTATTAAATTTACAAACGTTAAAGAAACCTAGTTGATAAAATTTAAAACTATTTTTAAAAAAATATAAAATGGGAACAAATATTCAAATTAAAAAAATATTTCAAATTCTTTACTTCAACTTTTTAAATTATTATGAAATCTTTTTTTTTTCAATATACTAATAAAAATTCTAATTCACCACTTAATCAAAATCAAGAAAAAAATTAAAGTAAGAATATTTGAAATTTTATATAGATATTTCATCGAACTTCACTATATGTTGGATAATGATAAAAAAAATTATAACAATTACATTAAATTATTGATAGTAAATAAAATTTATTTATACAATGATAAAATTATACTTATGATAATGAGTTAGAAAATAAAAATTTTTATTCAAAAAATATCAAAACGATATTCTACATAATAAACAAACAACAAATAAAAATATTAAAAAAATATCAAATGTATTTCTTATAAATAATTTGATAAATTATTTAAAAATTCAAAAAGAAAAATAAATAAATAATTAAAAATATAATAAGACAAAAGATATATTAGAGATTTAAGAATTTTGTTTTTTCAAATATCAATATAGTAATTTGAAAGATAAAAGTTGTTTTATCTCTTAGTATAAAAATAAGTCAGTATAATTTCTTTTCCATCAAATTCATAATGACATCATTACTGTAATGCCACATAGCATTTATTGTCCACATCACATTTTACTTTCATCAATAAATGAACTTTCTCCTTATCCAAAAATATTAGTTGTATTGATGTAGAGAGAATTAGTGAAGAAAGGCTGCAGTGTGTTTTAAGTCCTTGAGTGGTTTGAATAGTCACTCACACTATATATGTCAATTCCAGCAACATATGTTCACTCAACTCTGCACAAGATCAAACAAATTGCAGTGATTCATATAATTTCATCAACTTTAACTAATTGCTAGAAGATGAAGCAATTTCTGGAGAAATTTTTCCCAGAAGTATACATGAAGATGAAGCAAGAGACCAAGATTAGCAATTTCATAGCCAGCTCCTAATCAATAGAAAATTGAGGCTCGGTGTGGTCCTAACTAGTAAGTATACAATATGTGGACATTATAAAACAGCTTTAATTTTTAATAGAATTATAGAAAAATTAAATACAGATAGCCTTCTACTGTGCTATGAGAATAGCAATAATAGTGTTCAGCGTAACAAAAACTGTTCCCAATTGAACTATTATGTTCAGCAAAACTAATGCAATTATATGCTTATCAGTGTTTAAAACTTTATGTTCATATAAGAATTCCTGGCAGTTTTATTTTTTAACAGATGAGATATTAACGGTGATGTTTTCAGTCAGATTTCACTCAAGATTATAGAAATTCCGATCATGTGTGTAATGTTCGCAAGCACATGTCAGTATATGTGTCAGCAATAACTTAATTATGTTGGTCCCATGCATTTCTCCTCCACAAACTCAACTTAGCCAAAATTGTACAATTATTATTACATTCATTAATGCTGTTGGTTTTGTCCTTCATCATATCACATATAAAACCTTATGCCATCAGAGAAGAATGCAAATTTGATATTGCTAACTAGATTTGAGATATAAATTACTTAAAGATAAGATCAACATTAGACAATTTTCTTCCTAGAAGACAAAATTTAACTAACCAAAATTCAACAGTGACAGTTATCACAGTTGTAGTGAAATTCAAACCAATGTTGAGTACACAAATCAAAAAGCACTACTTGATTATAAATTATCATGAACCATATATGAAACCTGAATCAATCTCTCTAAGCTTTTACCTGTCTACTAAAGAAGAGGCTATCAATGGCTGTTGGGTTGGCTATAGCAAGTGAAAATGTCCAAAGCAATGGTAAGATAACCACTTATGTTCTGCTGTCTTGTATGATGGCTGCCATGGGAGGTCTCCTCTTTGGCTATGACATTGGAATAGCTGGTGGGGTGACCGCAATGGATCCATTTCTGAAGAAGTTCTTCCACAAAGTGTACCTTCAGAAAGAAGATGCCAAAGTCAGCAACTACTGTGTATTTGATAGCCAACTATTGACCTCTTTTACATCCTCTCTCTATGTTGCTGGCCTTGTTACCACCTTCTTTGCTTCTTATGTCACCAAAGCCTTTGGCCGCAAACCGTCCATTGTGGTCGGCGGCGCCGCCTTCCTGGCCGGTACAGCTCTGGGAGGTGCAGCTTTTAATGTGTTGATGCTCATATTTGGTAGACTTTTGCTTGGAGTTGGGATTGGTTTTGCAAACCAGGTAGCTATCTTTTCCTTCATTTTTCTACACTATTACAAGTATTTCAAATATTGATTACAACTTAAGATTCAATTGGAAACTAGACCTCTATAGAAGATTAAAGCTGCGTAATTTACTTTCCTGAAATTTGGGATCTAGCTTCTCTTTTGCGAGTTCACTTAGACTGTTGAAGACAAAATGAAAATTGATTATGATTTATGATTTTTTTGTATCTATCTGTAATTTCTGTAGGCTGTTCCTTTGTATCTATCAGAAATGGCACTACCACGACTAAGAGGAGCGATTAGCAATGGCTTCCAGTTAAGCGTTTGCTTTGGTAGTGTGTTTGCTACCTTAGTCAACTATGGAACAGACAAGATTAAAGGTGGGTGGGGTTGGCGTGTGTCCCTAGCCATGGCAGCAGTGCCAGCCTCAGTCCTAACATTTGGTGCACTTTTCCTCCCTGAAACTCCCAACAGCTTAATCCAACGCGGCCATGACCATCAAAAGGCCAAGTTACTACTTCAGCGAATTCGAGGCACAGATGATGTGCAAGAAGAACTTGATGGTCTTATAAAAGCAAGTTCTTCAAAAACCGACGAGAAGCAATCGCTTAAGATAATTTTGAAACGAAGATACAGGCCTCAGCTTGTGATGGCAATAGCTATGCCATTTTTCCAGCAAATGACAGGGATAAACGTCATTGGTTGCTATGCCCCTTTACTTTATAGGACAATGGGGTTAGGAGAAAGTGCATCGCTGTTTTCAGCTGTTATCACGGGAGTTATAGGTACTGCCTCAACATTCATATCAATGTTCATAGTTGATAGACTAGGACGGAGAGCCTTGTTCATGATTGGGGGCATTCAAATGATTGCATCACAGGTTATAGTTGGTGGTATAATGGCCTTTCATCTGAAAGATCATGGTGGATTAAGCAAAGGGTACGCTTTTGTGGTTTTGATTATGATATGCATATATGTTGTTGGGTTTGGCTTGTCATGGGGGCCATTGGGTTGGTTAGTGCCAAGTGAAATTTTTCCTTTGGAAATTAGATCAGTAGGGCAAAGCATCACAGTGGCAGTGAACCTTATCTTCACTTTCACTGTTTCTCAGACTTTTCTGACCATGCTTTGCCACTTCAGGTATGGGATTTTCTTCTTCTTTGGAGGATGGGTGGTGGTGATGACCATATTTGTGTACTATTTTCTGCCAGAGACCAAAAGCCTGCCAATTGAACAGATGGAAAAAGTGTGGCAAGAACATTGGTTTTGGAAGAGAATAGTGACTGAAGTCAGTGATAAAGAGCATAATCGTGAGATATCAATATGATACTTCAAGGAAGTTCTAAATCAAATGTTCTACCGATGTTAGCTTAAACATTTGTCTATGTATCAAATGTACTACAAAGCAATAAAATGGTTTTCAGTTTGGAAAGTTAGATTCTAATTATTAAAACAGTTTTCTCCACTCTTAAACTATACCTCTAACTTGACAGAAGAAGTGTTGGCAAGTGACAAAGATCAAATACAAACCTAAAAGTATCAAGTGTTGATAGAATCAAGGTGCTTTTAAAATCCTTGGTACTTTTCCTTAAGAGTAGTTTATGGTAGAAATGATTATTACTTGATATTGGCTTAAATAAGAGATCTACTCTGCTTGCATTTGCAGAGATCTATATGTCTTAATCGGTATATAAGTTGGAAAGTGTTACTATTGATTGCTTCTTCGAAAGTCTGAGTAAACGTTGTATTTCTCATGACAAATACTCCTAATGTACTTTTCCAATCATCTATATTACCACATTAGTCATTTATCTTAGTACCCAACTCGTCGGTAATTATCCGGCCTAGTATAGTATAGGCTGAGTGACATTATTTCCTAAACATACCTTAATATTCGCTTCAGTGCCTTCCATTATGTGTAGCTCGACTCCTCCAAATACCAACTTACTATCCCAACATTCAATAACTAATTCGGCATTGTACTCGTTAAATAATAAAGACTTCCAACTAGGTTTCGATATTTGCTAGCATTTACTCAGTCTCCTCTATCAAACTTCGAAAGCTTTGTACCTGATTCCATGTGTTGAAACCAGATTATAGTTTCAAGATCTCCTTCCCATACACTTCTTCATAATCAACTCACTCCATTGGTTTGTACCCTTTTGCAACAAAGCTCACCCACCTCACGCCAATAGGTTGAAGTTATTTTGGGAGATCAGACAACTTCCACGTGTTGTTAGGTTCCATTGCACCAATCTTCTCATTCATTGCAAGTCGTCCCTTCTCATCTCGCACTGTCTATTCAAAGCTCAAGTTCTAGGAATATATCAAAAGACATACATATGTCATCGTATCCAATAAAATCCATTTCAATAGTTTTTAAAAATTTATCTATTTTCAGCTACATCAAATCCGAAAATTTCCTTGGAATGAATCACAGGTAATATTATTTTTTTAAAAAGTAAAATTGAATGACAGAAATTTGAAGCAGTAACTAATATTTTTCGAAAAAATGTGAGTGACAGTGTACCATTGGTTCCTTCTAGAAATTCTCTGGCACTGCTTTGTTTTCACCACATCCTTTCACTGAATCCGAATGAACATTTTTTTCTTTTCTTCTTTTGGTCTGCCAGAAAGTGGAAGCTCCAAATTTTGGCCTCATTTTTTTTTCCGAGAAAACCCTAACCATCCCAATTGGCTCCTGCACTCCAATGACGCGCCGCTGCAGTCGGATTCCCTGATCTGCTGTTAAGATTCTATCATTATCAATCCGATTTTGTTGGTAATTTCTCACTCTGATTCATTTTCTGTAACTGTTCAAGTTTTGCAATTTGATTTTTTGAGTTTTACATTCATATTGCTCACTAACTCAATTTACTTCAATGTTTTTATGTAAAAGTCAGTACTAAATTTTCTCTGTAGTTCTACTCTCTTTTTTTCACTAATAAATTCATAAATTTAAGTTAATAAAAAATTCGCTCGTGAAAAGTAAAGGAAGTAAAAGTATAAATAAGAATAAATTTATCTTTTAAAATTCTATTATTAAAAAAAAACCTGAGGATGTAATGTTTTTTTTTCTCCGTTTTGTTGTGACAAGTGAAAAGTGTAATAATGAATTAGAAAGTTAATAGGATATTAACTTTATGAAACTAGAAATTGTTTCTTTAAAAGCACATTTCAGAATTTTCTTATTCATTAACCCAACTCCATTCTTTCTCTAGAACTCAACCTTCTTCTTTTTTCTGTCTTTTCTTTACCAAGTTCATCTTCCGTCTCTCTTCCATTTCTCCTCACTGGCTCAGTGCATGTCTGTTTAGGTGGTGCCAAGCGTTGACAGCGTAGAGGGCTTTATTTCGAATCGATTACTTTCTTCCTTCTCACCGGTAAGTAGTTCTTCCTTTCTCCTACGTTGTCTTGGAACTTAGAGCATGCGAATTTACTGGTTGCATGTAACTAGAAACGTTTTTCTTCAAATCTCTGTCAAATTCTAGCTCTAAGAGTTGTTTCCCATCTCCAATGTGGTGTTCTATAGGGTTTGGTTGAATTCTTGTTGTGAAGGAACTGTTGAGGTGTATGTGTGAGCTGTGCTGTTCAACTCTAAGGTAAGGGGAGCTAGAATACTTCTTTAAGTTGCTTGCATGAGGTGTATGTATACTGAATTCTGAATTGGTGCACTGTTTGGAGATGTATTTTGCGTTTTGAGTATGTTGTATTGTATGTATTGATATGTGAAATCTATGAATTGTGCTGTGATGTTATGAACTGAGTGGATGAGTTTAATTTATTGTAATTGATCAGGTTGGGAATGATTCAGGGTGTGAAGTCTGTTGCAACATTGTTTAGAAAGAAAGCATAGTGATTTGGTAGTGTTTAAGTTATTTTGGAGAAAGTGGGATAGTGAATTTGAGAGTTAAGGGTCTAGGGCTCTTGTAGTCTATGGGGACAATATAGGGAGGTTATTTGTGACTTGTTAGAGTCATCAAACTGGTCAAAACATGTGCAAAATGGTTGAATTGAATTTGGGTCTCTAAGTTGGGGCAATTGGTGTTTTAGAGTTGAATTCGAGTTGTAATTACTTTAGAATGGTAGTAGGAAGGTCTTAGATCATCTATACAAGTTTAATTAAGTATAAAATACAAATTAGAGGTATTAGAAGTTGGGGAAGATGTCTAGAAACGTTAAAGGGTGTGTGAGTTGCATAATTCTGCAGAACTTGCGATCTGCAAATTATGCAGACTCGCTAAGCAAATGTTTTCGCATAGCGAGTCCTCACAGTAAGGTGCTCTCTGTTTAGTCATTCGCATAGCGAGTTGGTGCGCTGTGCGAGTGACTGGAGAAGGTTGCTCTATGTCTAGTGATTCGCTTTGCGAATCTAGTCGCTATGCGACTGGTAGTGATGTGAGTTTAATGTCAATTAATTCGAATAGCGAATTTGGGTATGCGAGGGTTTAGGGTCTGATAATGTGTATTAGAATTTTTAGTTTAGCATAGCGCACAGACTTGGTGCGCTATGCGAATTTTAGCTGTCCCACCGTCAGGAAAATTCGCTCAGCGCACCAAGGGTGGTGCGCTATGCGAATTTTAGCTGAAAAACTTTCCCCCGTCAGGAAAATTCGCTCAGTGCACCAAGGGTGGTGCGCTGTGCGAATTTTTGTTGTCTTGCCTTGTACCTTGGTGCTTTGTGCGACCTGGTTCAGTTAGTTTCACATTTTTCCTCATATGTTTGAGCTGTTTGATGTTGTTTGACTGCCAGGATGTATGTATGTCTATATAACTGATTTGGGTGGCTTGATTTTGCAACATGATTGAGGGTATGTTGTATTGTATGTGAATTATAGTTTGGAAGTATGTATGAAACAAAGTTGTGATTGGCGTAAGTGTGATAGTATGGTTTATGGACGTAATTCCACAGATCTCAAAGGGAGGTCACATGGTGGTGCCCTATGTTATGGACGTAATTCCATGGATCTCAAAGGAAGGTTACATGGTGGTGCCCTATGTTATTGGACGTAATTCCATGATCTTCAAGGAGAAGATCCATGGTGGTGCCCTTGGTGTGTTTTAGAATGATTTGCATGGAAGCTCAGTCTTGGGGGTTATCCTGAAACTACAATGGTCAATCATTCTCAAGTAGAGAGGATTGAACCATGTCGTGAGTAGTAGTAGGAGGTCCTAGTCTTGGGTGCTTCTAGTATGGCACAAGGTGAGTGATAACGGACTAACCTCGTGAGTGTGGTAGGGTGAAACTCATTGGCAATGGCTTTGTAAAGCAGTAGATATCACCACGAGTGCATGACCCACCATAGCTCGACAATCATTCTAAGTCCGGACGAGTCAAGTGTAAAGTGTAACAAGTGGTGTTGTATGGTTCATTAATTTTGAATTAAACTTGCATGTTGTGTGTGATTGTTATAACATGATTTTTATATATCTAGCTCACCCTTCTGCTTGTGTTTGTCTTTTGTTTGTGTGTTTTCTGTTGCAATGATCATCCATTTGGATGTGAGCAGAGGTAGATGAGGTGCTCTGGATTAGGCTTTGGAGGAAGACAATGTTGCTGCTTAGTTTCATTAGGACTCTAAGTGGTTCCTTATCTTTTGTAATACTCTATTACACTTAAGTTTAAATTTACAACCATAAAGGGATGACTGTAAACCTTAAGACTTTATCCACAAGTCTTATTTTAACTGTTCTATTATATTAAAATGTGGACTACTAGATTATATAGTTCAATATAATTTGGGACGTTACAAAAAGTGGATAGTCTTACAATAGTAATCATATTTTTGTTCTTTTCAAAGCATTATATTTTAATTTGTTTTCTTCTTATTAAGTGGACAGGCCTCCATAATCTCAGTTTGTGTGTATTTAATTTGAATTAAACATTTTTTTCTTGTTCCGGAATGCAAAAGTATCCCTTCTCTTCTTTGTTCTTCAATTCAATCTCCTCATTGTGGATTATCTCTGGTCTCCAACCCGCCAACAGGGTAGTCTACTGGCTACCTTATTTATTTTTTAACCTAACACTGATGTTTGTGGCTAAAACAGTTTTTCTGTTTGGTTGTCAGCTCTTTGGGGACTTCTCCTCATTGGAGAAACCCATCACTGGTGAAGCTTTGATTGTTCATGTTTGGTTTGTAGAGCTAAACATGTGAGAAGAAGTGTAAAAAAGGGAGAGTCATATAGTATCTCTAAGCTAGAATTCTAGAAATTCTGTAATTAGCTAGGAATGGGGAAAGAAGAAAAAAAAAAGATGTTTTCTGCGTATCACAGACACCGCACTGCCATGAAACAATTTGGAGAAAAACTTTTACAGGAACTGCAAATATAATCCTATCCAACAATTTTTGGATAATCAGTCTTGAAAACAATTAAGAAGAGGTATAGAGTAATAAAAGATATGCTAAGTCAGGAAGGTTTCTAGTGGAACCCGAGTAGAAAGATGATCTAGTGTGACAATCCTGAGCTTTGGAAGAAATACATTACAATAAGTTGTGTTAGATTTTTCTCCATTCGTGAATGGGTATGGATTTTTGTAAAATACCTATTATGATGTTCTTTTATTTAATGAATAGGCACATCCCGATGCAAAAGGATTCCAATGAAAGCAGATGGAGATGTACGATGAACTTAAAATTGTTTGTGGGAATTATCAAGCTCCTAGTCGTTGGGCTAAGATGAAGAGTGGAAGCAATGTAATGGACATGAAGAATAGTGAGGATGAATCCGTCTCCTTTGTTTGTCCCAGTTCAGAAGACATGAGCGAAACTGATGGAACCGAATCATACACTGCATCTCCAGAATTTGGCCATATGCCAGATGGTTTTCAAGAACCTCCCATGATCCAGCCTGTAAGACAACCTCCAAAACGACCTCGTGCCTCAGATGCTCTTCTAGATGCATTGATGACAGTGGCATCAAGCATCCGACGTTTGGCTGATGCTCTGGACCAAAGCAAATGGTCATTTGATGCAAGTGAGTTATTACAGGCCGTGATGGAGATCGACGGGTTAGAAGAAGGTAAACAGATGTATGCATTTGAATATTTAAATGCTGATCCTTTCAAAGCGAAAGCCTTCCTCACATACAATGCTAGGATGAGAAAGACATACTTGTTTAGACAGTTCTGGTGGTGGAGGTGAGGTTGAACAGTGCCTTGAAAGTTTTTTGTTGTATAGATGATATGGGGACTGTTTCACAGATGTTTTACGTTTCACAGACTGTATTGTTAGGATGATCGAATGTATAGACTCGTAACAGTGATAGGAGATAGCCACATGTCGCATACATTAGAAACATTGCCCCTTCAAGTAGCCATGGTCATTTGATAGCAGGTAAAGGAAGATGAAAAACTGTGCCCACAAACATGTAATATGATGCAAAAAAATAGTGGCATGACTGCTAATAAAGTGAAAATGAGAGAATATTCTAACGAGTCTTATTTTAAGTATGTCCACTCCTATGTTTTAGTAGGCTATGATCCCATAAAAGGGTATTGTTGAAAGGCTTTTAGGTCGCACTAAAAGTCAAGAAACCCTAGTCCCCACTAATGTAGTATAGGACAACAAGGGAATCAATCCCAAGACTCGGCTAGAATTAAGTTTAAAGTGTAGAATTAAATCTTGTATTTATTTAACACCTAATTAACTACTAATACAAGGTGGGGAAAGGAAAAATTATCTGTAATGTAAAAATATGAAACTAACTAAAGATGCATGTATCTACTAAATCTAATCACCGAATGCAAGATAATGTGATGAAAACATAAACTATGAAAAAAATATATGCACTGATAATGAAGAATTAGAATGAATGGTGTATGGATGAATAACTGCAAAGAAAGAAAATTAATGCATGAATCCTCACCTAAAATGATATACAAATGCAATACAAAAACCTGAACATTATTAATGATAGAATCTAAAATCAGAAGAACAATTAACAACACGAAACCCCCATGGGGTAATTTCCTTAGGGAATGAAAGAAGAACAATATAGAATGAAGTGTAAAATATAAAACTAAATTGTGACTGTGATAGGAAAAGGTAAACAGAATATTCAACACCATATAGCATTTGAAAAACAGAAAAGAAAAGCACAAAACTAATTAACTAATATTGGGACAAATTGGAAAATAGTATAATATCAAACACAATCTTGGCAACAGGAATAATTTGAAGCTTCAAAGCATACTATGTCTCAAGAAGACATCTTGAAAAGTTAGGCCCTCTTTGGGGTCCTAAGGTATCTGAATCAAATACCACTGATATGCACAGTTTCCTTTAAATCTCAAATCAACCTCAATTGCCTAAAATTGTACTTGTCCTTATACTATAACAAATTGCCTAAACCAACTGATCCAAAATCAAATCCCATACTAACCTCACGTTAACACTAATCTATAATGAAACTGTAAACGGAAATGCAAAGGAAATCATAAAGGAAAGGAAACAAACCCACAAGGAACTCAGAATCTAAAACTGAATTGTAAAGTTATTGAATGATAAAGCATAGAAAGTAAAATCAAGTGCAGAATTTAACAGAACAAACTCAAAGGTAAAGTAAATCGAAACTGGAACATAAAAGTGCTTTATTGAAAAGTAAATTCAGAATTTACAAGATACCAAAGTTTCTCAGAGAGCCAATATCTGTCACCCAATGGAAGCTCCAAGAACTCCAAGGATCAAAGTTTCTATCCTACGAAAGCTGGAAATTCTAAAACTAAAGCGAGAGAATGAAAACCCTAAGCTAGATACACTATCTGTCACCCAGTGCACATCTAAACCTAGGAATGGGGCCTGTGACCCACCACTCGTGCTTTACAAAGTTATAAAACCCCCTTTTATAGGGAAAGTTCAAAGGCAGAAAAAGAAACAACAGGGGGAAAAGGGGGAAGAATCACCAACTGTCTTTGGAAGCTTCTCGAGCAACCTTCAACAAACTCTAAACCACTTTGATCTTCAACCGTCGACTGCTTCGCACGTGCCTCCAACCTCCATTGTGACCGATCAACATCTTGGGTTGGCCTCCTTTAGTTAATTTTCTGGATCATCATCCTTTGGGCTGTAAAACCCCTTTCTCTCACGCTCTCTAGAGGCTCTCTCACGAACCCTAGCTGCTGGGTTATTCTTCTCTCATTTAAACTTTGCTCGAGAGAGACTGCTTTTTCCTCCAAATGAAGTCTCGAGCTCAACCCCCAAAACTGCCTCCTTTGAAACTCATTGTTTCACTTAAGCCCATATCCAGCCAAAGCATTTAGCCCAATTGCTCCTCTGCTGATAAATGGTCCAAACCCAATTCCTAAGGCCCAATCTGCAACAAAGAAAAAATCAGTCCAAAACTACAGAAAGGAAATGAAATTTAAGAAATAAAAAGAAGTGTTTTTATCAAAAGATTTTCTAAAAAAAATTAATTCTCTAATTATTTACAACTACCAAAAATACTCCTAAAAACCTATTTTTAACTAAAATTCTATAAAACTAAAGAATTAAGAGAAAAACATAAAACTAGCCTAATTCTAAGAAATTAAAAACTAAAGAAATCTAAGAAATGACTTTTAACAAAGAAAAATATGTAAATCTAGAGTGTTATCAGGTATATTCACCAGTAATCCTCACAAGAACAATTTCCATTTTTGAAATGATGAAACCTACGTAAATCACGCACTATAATTTTTCTTCCTGTCACAAGTGAAATGTACTTAGTGGCTTCATGGCAATCACCACAAACTCTTAGATTCTTCCTAATGTGTATTGTTGTGCCAGGACTTGTATTCAGAAGTCCATAGGCAATAGCAAGCCTTTCACTATGACTACTGAGCAACTGTTCTTTCAGGTTTTCTTCCACATCCCCACTTGAATTAGTTTCAGGCACATAACCAGCAACCTTTATCTCATCTCTAAGAGTCTGAAGAAAAGCATAGATTCTTTTGGATTGAGGATGATTGGTACTTCCTGAGTAGAATGTGTGAACTTCATTTCTCATCTCCACCAAACTGCATCCTGGAGTTTTATGAAGCCCCTTCTTTTCCATGACTGTTCTCACCTCGGCGACTTTATCCCACATTGAATTAGAGGCATATATGTTTGCAAGCAACACATGATACCCTCCCTCATCTGGGTCTAACTCAAATATTTTGTCTGCAGCCTGGTGGTTGACTGAGAATTCTGCAAGAGTAGTAATTACCCCTACCAACGTAAAGCAATCAAAGTTTAGTGCCTTGAGATTGCATCGTACAGAATAGATTCAAAGCCTCCTCTACACACCCGTTTTGTGCATATCCTAATATCATGGCATTCCAAGTGACATTTGTTTTCTCCTTCAAATGATCAAATATTTAGGCCGCTATATCAACTCTCTTGCATTTAGAATACATGGATATTAATGAATTTGTGATTGACACATCAAAATCAAGTTTCATTTGATCCAATAATTTATGAACAAACATCCCTCTTTTAAGATCACCTAAATTAGCGCAAGCAAGTAAAGCTCCCATCATGGTAACACGCGTAGGTACCTCCCTTTCTTCCAACATCTTCAGAAAAGTTGCAAAGGCTACTTCAGATTCACCATTTTGTGCACAACCACAAATCACGGTATTTCATGAAACAACATTCTTTCTACTCATCCCCTCAAAAACTATCCTTGCAATCCTTTCAGACCTGCATTTGAAGTACATATCAAGAAGTGCATTTGAAACATTAACCAGTGATTCAAATCCTGATCTGAAAGCATAACCATGGATTGACCTTTCAATTCTCAAAGCCTTCATATCTGCAACAGCTGGTAAAACACTGACCAATGTGACAGAATCAGGCTTTAGGCCAGCTTCCTGTATCTTCGAAACCAAATGCAACGCTGTCTTGGCAAAGCCATTCTGAGCATATCCCGCAACCAATGTTGTCCATGTAACCAAATCCTTGTGCGGCATTTTTTCGAACATCTTGTATGCATAATCGATCTCGCCACACTTGGCATATAAATTCACAACATCAATCATGGAAAACAAATTGAACCCAAACCCATTAGTTATTAACTGCCCATGAATCTCTTTACCCCTTTTGAGGTCCAAATTCTCTCCACACAATTCCAACAAGCATGTATAATCACCCGCGACTGGTCTAACCTCATCACACTTCATCCTATGGAAGAAAGACAGGGCCTCATCCAAACTTGAGTTTTTTGCATACCCTTTGAGCACGGTGTGGTAAAGCACATCGAACTTGTGCTCAACAGGTTCAAAGACAAAAGCTGCTTCACTGATACTGCCAAATTTGCAGAATAATCTGATAACCTTGGCTTGAAACACATGCTCATTGTAGAAACCGTTTTTGATGATAAGGGGGAGGATTTCATAAAGCTCTTTCTTTGAGGTGCAATTTTCTAACAGTACAGCTGAAAGGTGCGTATGCCAATATAAGTGGCTAGGAATGTAATTACGTTGCCATAAAAAGGTTGCTGCTGTGCTAGTTTTGGAGTTTGTATTGCTAACTGTGTTGGACCAAATTGGTAAAGGGCATAGAGCAAAAAGTTGCAAGCTCATTGTTTAGACCCATTGTACCAGGTTCTTTCGATTCATGGTACTATTTTGTAACCAAACAGTTGAACATTACGTGCATGAAAACCATGGTATTGCTCTTTCAGTGGTGATTGAGTTGGTTCTTGCATGCATGGCAAGAGACACCACACACAGAGTAGTTGAATGTAGTTGGTTTGACAAGACATGTTCAAGGATTGAAATTAGTTCAAATTCCCAAATCTTTCCATAATTAATAATATTTTCTTGTTCCTGTGTTTCACTGCTTTCTTACCGAAAAATATGTCCTTTTTTTTCTTACTGGGAAGTATGTGATAACCATGACCTGCTTCCATTGATTATGTGATGGTAATAGGTGGTGGAGATCGACTAGGTTTCGGATAGTCAAACAAATATCATATTCAAAAGTTTTCTTTTATTTTAGGTTTCTTTTATTTTAGGTTTAAACTTTTGAATGGTTCAGTATTTGTTTGAAAATATCAATTTGGTAATCAGATTTTGAATAATATTAATTAAGTTCTTTTCTTTTTAAAATATATAACAAATAAGTTTTTTTAGTTAATTTTGTTGAAAATGAGTTGTAGTATTAAATGAATGACCGTGTTATTTGGTTTCATAATTCATTCCAACTACGTATTTAATTCATCTTCTATTCTTCTTTAAAGGTGTAGGTTTTGAAAGAAAAGATTGTCTTTCTGTTATCCATTGTTTAGCTTATGTATATCTTACTTTCATTCTTGTTTATCTTGCATATGTAATGGTTGGGAGATGCAAAGTAATAATGTGTTTTCTCATGTTCATCTTGTTCTTCTTTTGTTGTTTTGTTAAATAGAGTGTGTGTGAAGAATTGGTTGGTTATAATTATTTGCAATGGTACAATGAATAAGGAATTGAAGAAAGTTCGAAGAACAAAGAAAGGAATACAACTGTGATGAAGATGAAAGAAAAGTGAT